TGCTGCCTGAGGTTCGAGTCCACATTGTTCTTTACCCAGTTCCTGCTTATTTCTGGAAAGTCATGCTGGAAAGGGAAAAATGCAATAATTACACAAAACACACTAAGTGCAAATTAGGTAAACACAAAGGAAGGCAGCACAGTGGGATGGGTGCAACCTGCCATGCAGGTTGTATGCAAGTTGCCAGGCAACACGGAAGTTAGAGGCCCCGGGCCTTCCTGCTTGTACAATTGGCAATAAATCAGAACACTGTCTGATTTCCATCCACCTAGGTTTGCTGTGAACTTTCAGACGGGCTTCAGTGACAGTGACATTGCCTTCCACTTCAACTCTCGGTTTGAAGAGGGCGGGTATGTAGCCTGTAACACCACACAGAAAGGACAGTGGGGGCCAGAGGAGAGGAGGATGATCAATCCCTTCCAGATGGGAATTCCTTTTGAGATCAGCTTCCTGGTGGAGAACCCTGGATTCCAGGTGAGCAGAATTCTCCTCTTCCCTCCTGCTGCCTGTCCCCTTGCCCCACCGGGCCTGGAGAAAAGCTTTTAATAATTACCCAAGCAATGCTATTATGCAGATAAGAGGAGCTTACATACCTTCACCTGCACCTATTATATCACCTGTTGCTTCTGTTACCAGGAAATAAGAGCTAGGTAAGTCCCCACCTGCTCTTTGGCCTTGGGTTCCAGGTGACTGCCATCCTCTGCTGCAGCCTGTCCGCTCCAGGTCCTTGACAGCATTGTTTTCGGTGATGCTGTGGCAGCCCTTCTGCAGGCCCAGGGGCGGCTCAGGGCTGCATGGTGTGGTCATTGCTCTGCAGGCAGAGCAGTGCTGCTGGGCCCGGGGAGAGGGATGGCTGCGTCTGTGCTTCTCCGTGTGAAGGGGATGCTCCCAGGCCTCAGTGTGCACCCTGAGGGGCCCTCTCCTCTGCTCCCATGAGCCCTTTAAGCATTTAAATGCACAGATTGAAATGGCATCCCAGGTGAGCTGAGAGAGACAAACCTAGAGCAGTAAACAAGCAAGAACTCAGAAACCAGAACTAGAGCCAAGTGGTGACTGGATTTGGTTGCACTTGGATCACATGTGTGTTCCTGTGCCCGGAGCAGCTCTGAAGGCTGGGCCCCACCTACAGGGGATCGAGCTCACAACCAGA